AGTCACATGTAGGATTTTGTGGTTACAGGTCTAAATAATTAAGATAATAGAATGGGCTGGCCTTTAACATTTAACAGATGTTATCATCTAAAAAAGGCAAGAAAAGTTTAAAACCATTTAATCCAGATCATAAATTCTACAATTAGCTGTGACACCAGTGTTGTAAGTACTCAGTGCTCAGCTTATTTCTGAGTAGTAAACTCGCATTGAATTGCCTTTAAAGTCCTTCTATGTTACCCGGGACATATTTAAATGAGCATATTCTATTATCTCTTACTTGGAGCTATAGAGGAAGCATTATCATAAATAATTAAACTATGCCAGACATGGCCAATGAACCCATCCATCCTTAAGGTGGCCACTTTCCCATCTCCTTTTCCTACGTCTTGACCCTTAACCCTACTTGCCCCTACCTGTGCCTATGGAAAAGCTCTATTTCCCTGTTCCCCACAAATAGGCTCCATTACTGTGAAAGGAAGCTGTTTTAAAATTCTGTTCATGTATGTAAGGTACATTCTTTATGTTTGCTTTATTTGCCCTCAAATCCTCTTTCCTCCACATGTGCTATGACAAGGCTTTAAATTAGGTTTCACTGACATCAATGGACATTATTTTAAATTCTGCACAGGGACATATTGAGGAAGGTTGTTCACTACTAGGGAGAGAAATTGTAACCTTTCCCTCCTCAGTGTAGCAAATCTCTTTAAAAAATCACCTCCCATGCGCCCCCAGATCCTCATGACAAACAAGGCTCAGTGCATATTGTAATTTTTATATTGCTAGTTTCTGAAGATAAGTGACAGGAATAGTAATAATATCCTGCTGAGAATAATGACTGATTTTTAAGTTAATATAACATCTGAAATATGTTTTACAGTCCATACTTCCCATTAGCAACATTCACAAATCCATACTTTGGACATAATGGTTGTGTCTGCAATGTCACATTGAACTACAAACTAACCAACCACATTTTGGTGTATGAATCCAGCCTATGTGGTTATTTAGTGTCATATGTTTTATTAGGGCTACCATATCTGGAATATCAGATACAGAGATAAGAATCCTTTCCTGCCCTCTAGCGGTCATCTGATCTGTTCGCCTTAGTTAACTTGTTAAGAAGGTGGTGCATACGCAGCTTTAGTCAGTAAAACTAACCAGAAATTAGTTTTTCTAAGGCTTGAATTTGGTTAATTGCCAAACTCATTCTGATAGAGCTATTTTTCTAAAGTTTAGCTCCTTTGGAATTATATTAATTACTAGATGCAGACAATTTAAACTCAAATCCAAAAATATAGCTAGCCAGTTATCTTACTTTTCTTATCACTAAAGCCTTAGGTATTAAATTATATTAACATTTTATAAGAAAATCTTGTGGCATCTTTTAGATTCACTAAAATCACAACCTTCAATAGTTTTTCTTCTCTGAACTCTCATTATAGCCAATTTAGAGTGCAATTCCATGGATCTCTACTTAAAAAAACACTCTGAGTTCAAGGGACTGACTTCCAGATAAGTGTGTACAGTATAAGACTGCAGCTTCAGAGGAAGTGCTTGCGGCTTAAGACTTTATAAATGCATTGTACAGTATAACAGATAAAGCATCCTTTAAAATTATAGAGCTCTGTCTTTCTCATTTTATTTATTTGAAGGATTTATATCCTACTCTTCATTTGAAAACTGCTTTCATCCAGAACAAATTACAAAGATCCATATCTCCCATTCTGCCAAAACCCCAGTTATACAAAATGTTCCACATTTTAAAAAAAGGAAATAAAGAAAAAGAAGATCCAGATGCATGGCAAGGTAGAAAACTCACAGGGTGATTCAGGTGACATCTGATGAAGCTTAAAAAAGACCTGAGGTATTTCTAAACCTGAGCTAAAGATGATGCATGGAGATACCTAGGAGCAATGGTGAATATTCACTTCTTAAAGTTCTTTAGTTGTTAAAAGTCACTGTGTTCCATCTGCCACCACCAGGAGTTCATCAAGGTATTCTACTACTTCACCCTAGGACATATTATCACAGAGAACAGGTTAACATTTAAATAGTTTAGCTTTTGAGAAAAAACTCCTATTTTTCAAAAAAAGAAAATAAATAATAGAATTGAAATGAACACTAAGAGAGCCAGTTTGGTGGAGTGGTTAAGGTGCTGGCCTGGAAACCAGGAGACTGTCTGTTCTAGGCCTCCTTTAGGGATGAAAGCTGGCTGGATGACTCTCTCAGCCCAACCCACCTCACAGGGTTGTTTTTCTGGGGAAAATAGGAGACAGGAGCATAGGCATATTTGCCACTTTGAGTTATATATAAAAAAAGGTGGGATAAAAATCTAATAATAACATGCTAAGGCATACTTATCCACTTTCAAACATGTGATCTATCTTTGATTTGATTTTCTACTAATCAAAGGATACAGCAGTATCTGTTACTATGGCACAGATTCTGTGACATCTTACAATAATATCTTGTATTGTTCATATTACAGTAGTGAATTCATTGGTAGACCAGTGACTATTGATAAGTATAAAATATAAGATATATTTTTTCCTCCTGTTTATATTTTTAATTTGTACTTTTATTTTTTGAAAAAATCTTTTTAAGATTAAAGAGTGTTTTGTTAAAAAAATAAAGACATTACATTAAAAATGCTTTAAAAATAGATATCCACTTTCAATATAATGGGACTGAAGGCTGATCAAGGGATTGTATGTCCCTTCACAGGGTGCTCTTTTTACTGCTCTCTATTATTGCTTTTAATGATTGAACTGTGTCAGCTGATAAATGTTGCTTATTTCTGTAAAAGGTTTCTGCATCCACTGATTTTTTTGATGAATCTACTGATAAAGATACAAAAGCAGACAAAGCTGGGCTATTTCTCGATGCAGATGAGCTTCTCTCAGAGATTTGTCAAACGCTGGATTTCTTTGTTAGTTTGAACATGGGATTTTCCTAGCCCTTTACTTTGGACCTTGCAAGTGCCCAGGGCTGCTGAAGGCAAAATTAATCTCTTGGCACCTCTATTACAGCTGCTCAGCAAACAACGATGGGATCACAGCTGATTAGGCAGGTTGCTGCTCTTTTTTTCTCTTTTCTTCTAGGTTTATAATTTTGCAAAATTGTGAAATGTTTTGAATAATTTCTGAAGGACATCTTCTTGCTTTTAAGTTATCTGAAACTTTCAAATGTTAAACCCTCTGAAAGGCTAGGCATACAACTTGACAGCAAGCAGCCCATAAACAAAATAGGGAGCAAAAATCAAAATACCAAGGGAAAAAATGGCAATTATCATGGCAAGAGAGACGCTTATGTCATCTTGAGTATGTCAGGGATAATTGGAAATTATTCATATTTAGTTACATGGTATTATAATATATATTATTTTCAGGCTCCACTTCTCTGCCTTTAATGGGAGCCTGATATGTATACAATAAGCGTATAATAGGCATGGAGAGATGCAAAAACCTCACTCCTCAATTTCAGCACGACAGGCAGTTCTTAAAAGCAAAAACCAGAACCAGAGAAAGCAAGGGGGTTTCATTAGCAAAACATAAAACCTGGCCCTTAGCTTTTTTTTTCCCCCCAAAACATTAATTTTGCTTTAGTCTGCTTTACTTACTTCATCATCATCCATCACATACTCTTTAGCAAATTCATACATTTCTTTCTGAAGTGTTGTTATGTTGTAATACCGAATAGCTTCCTAGAAAAACAGCAGCAAAACTCTGTGTCATGTTAAATCCAAACACTGTTTAAAGTCTCAGGGTCAACACAGCAAGCATGAAAAAAATACAGGTAGTCCTTGACTTATGATGACAGCTGGAGCTGGAATTTCCATCACTAAGCAATGTGGTCATAAGTGACAACAATCCCTGCAGTCCCAGTTGCTGTCATTAACTGAATCCCATGATCGTCAGGAAAGGCAACTTCCTGCCAGCTTCCCACAACCAAAGTCAGTGGGGAAGCCGGTAGGAAGTTGCAAGTCCCAGGTCCACAGGGAGGTAAGTGACTGCTGCTGGGTGGGGGAGGGAGTGAGGAGATGCGCAGGGGTGCGGGGGAGAGTTGGGGTAGGTGTGCAGCAGTGCGTGAGAGGCACCATGTGGGTTGGGGAGAGTGTGTGGGGTGCACAAGAGGCATTGTATGTGGGGTGGGAAGGGTGCACAGAGGTGTGCAAGAGGTGCTGCATAGGGAG